ATAAAATAACATATAGATGTGACATTGTATTTGAGATCATCTTAACCGTCCATTCAGAATAGACGGTTGGATAAAAGAAGCATATAAGTTTTATGTAGCATAAAAATAGCTTCTCCAAAAGATTCTATTAGATAAAGGCTTGCAGAGTGAGCCCCATTGAAAAGTAGGCGCCTGGATTCTAATTTTAGACACATGCAGATTATCAAATTCAAAATCACAATGAATTGGCATAAAAATTTGGGCAAATTTGTCTGTCGCTTTTGTAGTAGGACGACCATTTGGTAGATGGAAGGTCTAGACTTTCACGAACTCAAACTTATTTTTATGATTTGGGTGTGGATTGCATGGAGCCTAGGCTCTAAACAAACAAATTAGAGCCTAACTTCAAATAGTGTCGAGAAATTTGATTTTAATATTGAAAATCTTTGTGATAGCCTTAAAATATATTTTCAGTTTTATTTATAAAGTTTAAAGCTTCAAAAATAGTGTAGATCGATAGATATATTAAAACTTGAAAATTTTGAAAATTGACGGTCAAAAAATATATTACAAATATACTATTTCCAAAACTTGAAATCCATTTTTTTTTATGTCCATACATCTTGATGTCGAGATGATCAATTTGAGGATATTTGGACATCAAAATAACCTCTGGTGAAATTTTTGTGATAGGCTCCAATTTGATGGTTTAAAGCCTTGGCTATATATAAACTTTTACCCTTATTTTTATCAAGACTGGAAATTTCACCCCAAATAGATTTCCTATAACCATCTGTTTTGGGGTCCAACTTATATAGTAGTCATAAAGCCCTTGGACTCGTAGAATGCTTTCCCTTAGGTGCACGAGACGTAAAATTTAATTGTCCCCACAAGTTTTTTAAGTGTTTGACTACTCTGTCAGAGTTCCGAGTACTGTGCCACCCCAAGTTTCCCCGAGTTGGATATCTCACTCCGGAATGTAAGAAAATAAATAAATAAAAATCATAAAACAGCCCAAAAATAAAGAATTTATTCGTGATAATTTTTTTTTTATATTTTCTAACATTTTAGCTAAGCTTGGAAAATGTATTGAATATGAGTACTTATTTTTACATTTTCCATTTTTTTTGGATTATTGTGGTTCCTATAAGGTTGAAAACTTAAACAATTCCAATTAAGGCTCACCTCCAAATTTTATCATAATATGTAATTTCGGTGTAAAATATTCTTAAGATTATCTCAAAATCTCTTTTCAAATCTAATTATAAAATTTTAAATTCCAAAAATGGTTAAAATCAAGAAGATCTATAAATATACGAAAAACTTGAAAATGGACGGTCTAGATAATGTATTGCAAGATGCACTATTTTTTAGGCTCAAAATATTTTTTTTTCATATTCATGCATCTCGATGTCGAGATGATCAATTAGAGGGTTTTTCAACATTAAAACAACCTTTTCAGATGGATTTTTTATGTGCATATTTAATTCTACATTTTAATGTTGCAACTTTATATAAATTTTTTCCTTTCTAAAATACCCCAATCACAAATTGATTTTTTTTTTTAATTCTATTTTTCACTATTTTCTTAACTTCATTTAGATGTGTTTTGTTTAATTTTAATTCAAATATATTTTTCCTATTTTCTATATTTTGGAATATTTTGATTTTTTTTTAACATTTTTTTGCTGCTATAGTACTCAGACCTACTCGGGCCGAGCTGTAGTTTCAAACACTAATTTGTTGCAATATAAATTATTTTTAGAAATTGAAATCCTATTTTTTTTTCAACAACTATAATGTTTTAGCTGATATGATCGATTTAAAGGTTTTTCAAGACCTAAATTGCAAATTTTGATGAGTTGCGAGGTAAGGCCTTACTTATTTTGAGAGGGCTGCAGCCCTCTCAAACCATTTTCCTTTTTAAAGCCATAGGGATTTATTGTACAAGTTTCCCTGCGGGTTAAGTGTATTTTTTCAGGCATAATTTTTAAGGATGGATTCTTTTGACCCTGGCAAATGTCCATCAAAAAGATTTGAAAAAAACAAGTTTACGCAAGGAGTCAACTTTATAGATTTAAGGTGCACCTAAAAAATTTATCATGAAAGGTTGTTTTAATGTTGAAAAACCCTAAAGTTGATCATTTCGGCTTCGAGATACATGGATATAAAAAAAAATGATTTTCAATCCTTAAATATAATGCATCAGGTAATGTATTACATGGGCCACCTATTTTCAAAAATTTTAATTGCTTATAGATCTGCTTGATCTATATTATTTTTTAAACTTCAACTGTCATAATTAAGAGTGAAAATAGATTTTAGGCCATCATAAAATTCATTCATTGATTTTTATTTTTTTTTTGGTTTTTCCATCATGAGGGTTTTCAATTCGACATTGAAACTACTTCTTTTAATAATATTTAGAGGTGTAATTTACTTTGATCGTTTAAAATTGACACATT